CCCTGTTTCCTGACAGCGAAGAGACAACAGAAGGGGACGACGTAAGAGACAAAGGCGGTGAAGGAGACAGAAGAAATAAAGAAAGAGACAAAGGAGACAGAGAAAATAAAGAAAGAGACAAAGGAGACAGAGAGAATAAAGAAAGAGACAAAGAAGAGTAAGGGAGATAACAAGACAGAGACAAAGGAGACAGAAGAAATAGAGAAAGAGACAAAGGAGACACAGGAGGAGACAAACAAGACAACGGAGACAGAGAAATAAACAAAAGAGACAAAGGAGACACAGACGGAGACAAACAAGACAAAGTAGAGACAGACGGAGACAGAGCAAAGAGACAAAAGAGACAGAAGAAACAAAGGAGACAGGTAGTACCAGCAAACCGCTTCCCGCCTCCTAATTTAATTAAATATTTCTCAAAGATATCGCAGTCTAGATTTGTGCGGCAGACAATCATGCAGCAATCCATCTTCAGCGCGTCCGCAAGAGCAACCGCTATCTGCGCATACACCCCAAAACCCTAAACCCTAAACCCTAAATCCTAAACCCTGAACACTAACCACGGAACCCTGAACCCGTATGCAAGGCGCAGGCAGCAACAAATTCGCAATGAACAATACAATAAACACTATAAACCCTAAACCCTAAACCCTAATCGCAGGCATACAGCTTACGCCCTAACCCACAAGGTCTAAACGCTAACATAGCTACGCTTCATAGCAAGGGTTTAGGGTTTAGGGTTTAGGGTTTTGTACTTGAGGCTTGAGCAGTTTGGTTCTACACGAGAGGAAGTCAGGACTCTCATCCACCACAGCAGCAGCAGCAGCAGCAGCAGTTGCTGCTGTTGCTGCTGCTGCTGCTGCATGCCCCACATGCACTCCGTCGATCTCTGGCAGCCCCACCGCTGACGGGTCGAAGGGCAAAGAACATTGAAGCCCCTATAACGCATTTTATTAAAATGCATGCATGCATGCATGATATATATATATATGCATATATAAATATATATATTATATATTTAAACATATCATATAAATAATATATTATATATACATATATATATATATATGTACGCATGTATATATGTGTGCATATTATACTCTAATGGATGCATGCACTACCGGATGCATGCATGCATGCAACTGTGCATGCAGTAATGCATGCATGCACCAATGCATGCATGCATGCACTAATGCATGCATGCATTAATGCTTTCATGCATGCATTGTTTGAATTACTTGTTTGGGGTCGACTGTATAGACAACGACGTTTGCGCTGTCTGGTAGAACTGCTGTGCCTTTGAGGTCTGCCCAGCATGCATGCGGAGCTAACAAAGAAATTGCTGCTGCTGCTGCTTCTGTTCTGAGTGTTGCAGAGAAGAAGAGCGTCTGCGGACGCCGTCCTGCTGCTGCTTCACCCTGCTGCTGCAGCCTGCAGCAGCAATGCAGCAACAAAACGCACAATTGCATCCATGAAACCCTAAACCCTAAACCCTAAACCCTATAACTCTAAACCCCAACCCCTTACCCCCCAACCGAAACCCGTACCTCTTCACTGCTAACCCGTAAACCCTAAACCCTAAACCCTAAACTCTAAAACCCTAAACCCCAAACCCGTAAACCCTAAACCCTAAACCCTAAACCCTAAACCCTAAACCCTGGTTTACTCGAGGAGTTTCTTAGTTCCCTGCTCTTTAACAACTTCATCGGCTTCATCAATTATTAAAATTTGCAGACGGCTCAGCGGAACTACGCGCCGACGCACGAGGTCGAGGGTTTTGTCCAGTGTACCCACCAACACATCGACCTGCACAAACCCTAAACCCTAAACCCTAAACCCTAAACCCTAATCCTCAAACCCTAGCTCTAAACGGTGCAGGGGATACTCTAATCTCGCAGCTATGCACCTGCAAACTGCAATCAGCAATCAACTCGTCATGAACACCTTCTAAAGCATTCCAAACCCTAAACCCTAAACCCTAAACCCTAAACCCTAATCCTTACACTTTTGAAGTCGGTACGGTGAGATGAGGGGCCCCCTGGTCCCCCTCCAGTGCAGGACTCAATATTAATGCGGGGCCTCTCAAGCACTCTTCCTGCATCCACAAAACCCTAAACCCTAAACACTAAACCCTAAACCCTAAACCCTAAACTCTAAACTAACGAGCATGGATTAAGCGCGCCCGCAGCGCCTCAGGCCCTGGAAGAGTCTACAGATTCAGTGCAGCAGAAGCGGGAAGAGCAGCAGCAACAACAGCAGCAACAGCAACAGCAGCAGCAGCAGCAGCAGCAGCAAAAAGGCTGCTTCACACCGAATCGCTTGTAGCAGTTGTAGGTCTGCATGACGAGGTCTCGTGTGGGGGCGAGGCAGATGCAAAGAGGTCCAGACCCCTGCAAGCTGCTGCTGCTGCTGCTGCTGCTGCTGCTGCTGCTGCTGCTGCTGCTGCCAGCAGCAGCAGCAGGCACGGAGTCGGCTGCAGTCAAATCTGCTACAGGAGTAACGCCGTCTATGGGATATAAAAAGTGAGAAAAGCGGATCTCCACCTGCACACCAAACCCTAAACCCTAAACCCTAAACCCTAAACCCTAGAAAGATGACTGCGGAAGGCGCCTAGCGGCTCCTGCGGCGCTTGGAAGGAAGCGAATCTGAAGCGCTCAAGCGCTAGGGTTTAGGGTTTAGGGTTTAGCTAACCTCAAACCCTCTACCGCAAACACCAGGCCGCAGCGGGGAAGAAGCAAGAGACAACGGAAGCTGAAAAGCTTCACCAAGGGGCTGACCGTTCAAATAAAAAGATACAGAACCGCTGCTGCTGTTGCTGCTGCTGCTGCTGCTGCTGCTGCGGTCAATGACACAGCCCACTGCGTCGCCAGGCCCAAAGGAGCAGCCGTAGTCAAGGAATTTGCTGCAACCCAACAATAAACTGTAAACCCTAAACCCTAAACCCTAAACCCTAAACCCTAGCTGAAGTATGCAAGTGTGCACAGAAGCTCAGCGGTAAATACTAACCCCCAAAACCCCTAAGTCCTGCGCTCTACAGGCTGCATCAAGGCGCTCTACGAGGTGTTTAGGGTTTAGGGTTTAGGGTTTAGGGTTTAGGGTTTAGGGTTTGTTGTTGCGTCACCCGTTCCAGCTCTTCTTTCCTGTGCTGCCAAACCCAAACGAAAATGCCTCCAAGCCCAAAACCCTCACATTTGTTTTGCCCCCGAACCCCACACGTACTAGGCCGCGGTGTATGTACACCTCAAACTGCAGCAATATATATACATGCACATGCATACAAACATATGCATCCATGCTAGCTCTTCCTGCTGCTGCTGCTGTCGTTGCTCCTGCTGCTGTTGCTGTCTGGGGTGCTTCTGCTGCAGGCGGTGCTCCCGCCAGTCGCTTTGAGGCGCTGCTGCGCTGCTGCTGCGCTCATCCTGGCGTCTAAACTCGTTCTGCTGCTATTGCTGCTGCTATTGCTGCTGCTATTGCTGCTGCTGCTGCTGTTAGCTGACCGCATATTTGCCTCTGCATATATCTGCAGGAGCGCGGAAGCCTCTCCAGTTGTCGGTGTCTCCGCATAACAGATGAACAGTTGGGGGAGCATCAGCAGCAGCAGCAGCAGCTGCTGCTGCTGCTTTTGCTGCTCCTGTTGCTGCTGCTGCTGCTGCTGCTGCAGGGCGCAGCGACCACAGGATCTGCATGTCGCGGTCGCTGCCGTCTTGCTGCCATTCCTTATTCCCTGAGGTGTACGTACACCCCAAATGCACAACCATGTTGATACACCAACAGCAGCAGAGCAGCAGCAGCTGCTGCTGCTGCTGCTCTTGCTGCTTCTGCTGCCGGTGCAGACCCGTCTGGAATTGTGGCTAGAACAGCAGCAGCTGCAGCAGCGAAATGTGCAGGAACAACAAATGCAGCTAGAGCAGCAGCGACACGCGTCGCAGCAGCTGAAGAGCAACAGCAGCAGCAGCAGCAGCAGCGGCAGCGGCAGCAGCTCCTAACCTGGAGCAGCAGACTGGGTCGTTCCCGGTGCAGGAGTAACAGCAACTCCGCGTAGTGCTTCATGCATCAGCTGCAGCGAAGGCAACACAAATGCTGCTGTCTTGCCGCTCCCCGTCTCTGCTGCTGCACAGACGTCTCCACCCTGCAGCAGCAACAGCAGCAGCAGCAGCAGCAACAGCAGCAGCAACAGCAGCCAGACAAGATCACACGCAGCAGCAACTCCATACACACTCAACAAAACCCCAATACAAGGCTGTCGATCCCTAAACCCTAGCCGGAGGCGAGCCCAAACCCTAAACCCTAAACCCTAAACCCTAGCAAATGTAGCAGCGCAGAGAAGGTGAGCGCGAGCCCTTGCGAAGGTTCCCTCAGCAGCCCCTAGTAGAAGAGTTGCGTGGTACGAAAACGAGGGTTTAGGGTTTAGGGTTTAGGGTTTAGGGTTTTATTGATTACCCCTAGAATAAGGGGTATTGCCTCTGCTTGTATGGGTGTCGGCAGCGCCCAGCCTTCATCTTCTGCTGCAGAGACGAGCTCAGGGCAGAGCGCCAACTCAGCGAACGCCGCCATATCTACGGTGTACGTACACCTCAAGAAGTTGGGGTGTATGCGCAGCTCGCGGCAATCGCTGCTGCTGCTGCTGCTGCTGCTGCTGCTGCTGCTGCTGCTGCTGCTGCAGCGGCTGCTGCTGGAAGAGTTAAAAGGCTTTAAAAGGGTAAACAGAAACACAAAACACAAAAACAAATATTATTTTTTCAATTTGCTGCTGCTGTTCTCGACAAAGATGTGGGGCCCCCAGCCACAGCCGCCGCTGAGGGCACTCGGGGGGAGATGTCCTGAAGTAATAATAAATAAATAAATAAATTAATTAATTAATTAATTAATTAATTAATTAATTAATTAATTATTAAAGAAACAAAAATAAATTTGTAAAAAGAAAGGGGAAATAATTGATAACGAAGGAGATGATGTGGAGCAATGAGGGTTTAGGGTTTAGGGTTTAGGGTTTAGGGTTCAGCATTCAACACCCGAACACGGTTTAGGGTTTACCGCTTGGAGAATATACTTCCGCCAGCTACAAGCAAGGGTGTAGGGCTTGGAAGGGTTTAGGGTTTACTAGTTATTGCATTTAAGGGTTTAGGGTTTACTAGTTATTATTGCATTTAAGGGTTTAGGGTTTACTAGTCATTATTGCATTTAAGGGTTTAGGGTTTACTAGTTATTACTGCATTTAAGGGTTTAGGGTTTACTAGTTAACAATATTTAAGGGTTTAGGGTTTAGCGTTTCGAGACCCTATTTCTGGGGTGTATGTACACCTAAAGTTGCTGTGAGAGCAAATTGAGGTGTATAGGAAGTAAAAATTAGTATTTTCTTGTTTTTGTTTGTCTCTGTTCTAATGGGTTGGGGTGTATATGCATCTCCTGTCTGTATATTTAGGTGTCTCCTTGGAGTTGTCTCCTTTAAATTGCTCTCCGT